ACCAGCTTCGACCAGGTGGCGCAGCTGAGCTCTGCAGCCCGTGGCCTGGCGGCCTCGCTGCTTTTCTTGCTCTTGGTCAAGGTAAGGGCGGGGCCGGTGGGCGCGGGGCTGGGCGCAGACCCCAGGGCTGCAAGCTGACGGACCCCTTGTCCGCAGGCCGCTCAGCAGCTACGCTTCGTGCGCCAGTGGTCCGTCTTTGGAAAGACGTTATTCCGGGCTCTGCCTGAGCTCCTGGGGGCCACCTTGGGCCTGGTGGTGCTCGGGGTAGCCTACGCCCAGCTGGCCGTTCTGGTAGGTGACTGCGCGGCCAGGGAGAGCCCCTTAGCTCAGCTCAGCTGCACGCCCTCACTGATGCCGCCTTCCCCGCAGCTCGTGTCCTCCTGCGTGGACTCCCTCTGGAGTGTGGCCCAGGCCTTGCTGGTGCTGTGCTCTGGGACCGGGCTCTCTACCCTGTGTCCTGCCGAGTCCTGGCACCTGTCACCACTGCTGTGTGTGGGGCTCTGGGCGCTGCGGCTGTGGGGCGCCCTACGGCTGGGGGCTGTCATCCTCCGGTGGCGCTACCACGCCCTGCGTGGAGAGCTGTATCGGCCGGCCTGGGAGCCCCAGGACTATGAGATGGTGGAGCTGTTCCTGCGCAGGCTGCGCCTCTGGATGGGCCTCAGCAAGGTCAAGGAGGTGGGTACGGCCCAGTGGGGGGGAGAGGGACACGCCCTGGGCTCTGCCCAGGGTGCAGCCGGACTGACTGAGCCCCTGTGCCGCCCCCAGTTCCGCCACAAAGTCCGCTTTGAAGGGATGGAACCGCTGCCCTCTCGCTCCTCCAGGGGCTCCAAGGTATCCCCGGATGTGCCCCCACCCAGCGCTGGCTCCGATGCGTCGCACCCCTCCACCTCCTCCAGCCAGCTGGATGGGCTGAGCGTGAGCCTGGGCCGGCTGGGGACGAGGAGTGAGCCCGAGCCCTCCCGCCTCCAAGCCGTGTTTGAGGCCCTGCTCACCCAGTTTGACCGACTCAACCAGGCCACAGAGGACGTCTACCAGCTGGAGCAGCAGCTGCACAGCCTGCAAGGCCGCAGGAGCAGCCGGGCCCCCGCCGGACCTTCCCGTGGCCCATCCCCGGGCCTGCGGCCAGCACTGCCCAGCCGCCTGGCCCGGGCCAGTCGAGGTGTGGACCTGGCCACTGGCCCCAGCAGGACACCTCTGTGGGTCAAGAACAAGGTCCACCCCAGCAGCACTTAGGCCCGTTCCCTGGTGGGGATGGGCTGTGGAGTCAGAGTGGACACCGCTCAGTATTACCTTCTGCCACCCTCAAGGCCTCGGGCCAGGCAGAATGGCTGCACGCAGGTTCCCCAGAGAGCAGGCAGGGGTGTCTGTCTGCCTGTGGGCTTCAGCACTTTAAAGAGGCTGTGTGTCCAACCAGGACCCAGGGTCCCCTCCCCGGCTCCCTGGGGGAGGACACAGCAGTATTGGATGTTTTCTAGCCTCTGAGATGCTAATTTATTTGCCCGAGTCCTCAGGTACAGCGGGCTGTGCCCGGCCCCACCCCCTGGGCAGATGTCCCCCATCGCTAAGGCTGCTGGCTTCAGGGAGGGTTAGCCTGCGCCGCCGCCACCCTGCCCCTAAGTTATTACCTCTCCTGTTCCTACCGTACTCCCCGCATCGTCTCACTGTGTCTCGTGTCAGTAATTTATATGGTGTTAAAATGTATATATTTTTGTATGTCACTATTTTCACTAGGGCTGAGGGGCCTGGCAGCTGAAACTGGGCCCTGCGCCCAGAGCTGGCCTCCCCAACACCTTGGTAGGTGTGGCGGGGCTACGGCAGCCCGGCTGCTGCTTGGATGCGACCATGGCCCTGGGCCAGTGCTGGGGGCACAGCTGTCCCCCAGGCACTCTCATCACCCCAGAGGCTTTGTCATCCTTCTTGCCCTAGGCCAGGTAGTGAGAGAGCAGCGCCCAGGCCTGCTGGCATCGGGTCTGGGCAAGAAGCAGGACTAGGCATGTCAGAGGACCCCAGGGTGGTTAGAGAAAAAGACTCCTCCTGGTGGCTGGCTCCCAGGGTGGAGGAAGGTGAGCGTGTGCGTGTGTGCGCGTGTGTGCTGTGTGGCCCGGGCAGCCCCAGGGCCCTCGGGGTTGGCTGCGCCTGCTTTTGTGTACCACTTCTGCGGGCACGGCTGCTGCTAGAGCCTCAACCTCCCCCCACCCAACCCCCGCACCAAGCAGACAAAGTCAATAAAAGCGCTGTCTGACTGCAGCCTGTGCCTCTGTCTGTGCACCAGCGACAGGACTTTATTTCACTGACACAAAATACTGTCCAGGGAGGGCCCCAGCCTCACACGAACTCGGTGAAGTCCTCCACGGAGGAGATGAGGCGCTTCCGCTGGCCCATCTCGTAGCCAGGCGTGGGCTCGGCTGGAGTCTGTGCAGGCCCTTTGGTATGGGATGGGGGGTGCACCAGAGGCAGGCTGGGGTTGGAATAGGCGGCTTCCTCGCAGATCTGAAGGCAGAGGCAGCTTGGGCAGCAAGTCCAGGAGGCGTGGCACCCGCTCTGCCCACCCGCCTGCCCCGCAGCCTGGGCAGCCCCATCTTCCCTACCCGCTGGCGGAGTCTCTTGATGTGGCGGAGCCGGGCAATCCACTTGGAGGGGTAGATGTCGGTGGGGTTGGAGCGGCTGTGGTGCACCTGTGAGGCCATCTAGGGATGTAGGCAGGGGTGAGCTCACTCTCAGGTGGCACTTGGGCCTGTCCCACCAGCTCACGCCTGGACCTGCCCCCACTCACGTTTGCATGCAGGGCCATCTGACGGGCCACAAAAGGCAGGTTGCGGTCAGACACGATCTTGGCCACGCTGGTGTCCACAAGGCCCTCCATGTCTGGGGAGACTTGGTGGTCATGCCAGGCCCAGGGCCCTTGGCGCCACCCTGCCCAGTCCCACCCCAACCCTACCTTTCCTGCACTGCAGGGACACCGGCCCCACCTTTCCTGCACTGCCCAGCCCTGCCCAGCCCCACCCGGGCCCACCTTTCCTGCACTGCAGGGACACCAGGTTGCACTCATAGTCCAGCGGGGTGATGATCACGTGGACAAAGTTGAACTGGCCCTGCCCGGACAAGAGAAGAGGTCATCCCCGCACACACCGTGTGCTGAGGGCTGCTCTCAGCCACTGCCTGGCTGCACTGCTAGACGCTTGTCGGCTCCATGGGCAGCATCTGCCCCTGAACTGTCCCCTCCGGCAGCGGGGCTGTGTTTGGCCTCCCACAGGCCAAGCCCCCTCCACACCTGGGCCCAGCACCCACATTTGCTGCAGCCACAGCGGGGCACCTCTACTTGCTAGGGCCCCCAGCGTGTCTGCATACGTCCAAATCCGTCTGCCCAGCCATGAAGTGTGCCGTGTACCCCATCTCAGCACCACCACACCCTCCTCAGCCTCTGGGATGTCCCCCATTGATCATCTTGGCATCTGGCTGGGCCCGCCTTCGCTATGCTCCTACCCCTCCTGGACTCTGACTAGCAGCCCCAGGGTTTTGGTTCAGTGGCTGCCTCAGGGTCCTGGGGCCCTTGGAGTGAGGCCTCCAGCCCACCTGTCCTGCCTGGGCCATGCCAGCTCTCCCTGCCACACTGGGGCTCACCGGACAGAGCACCCAGGACATGCTCTGTGACACTGGCCGACCCAGCCCACCTCCAGAAGAGGCTGAAGCTGGTTGCTGCCTAGTGGTGCGTGGCGGTAACCAAGCGAGTGGCCTGACAACTGCCACTGGGGAGACTGGGGGCCCAAGGGCCGCGCCGGGCAGACAGGAAGCACCAACTATACTGTGCCCACCCAGCACACCCAGTCTGCACTTGCCAGTCACTCCTGACAAAACCCCAACAGCAGGGGCCACTGGCTCCACGGCACAGATGATGCAACTCAGGCTCAGGGCTTGAAGCTCATGCCCATGGGGCCCTGAGCACTGCGGCCTCTCCTCATGCTCCTCGTGACCAAAGCTCAGGGAGGACCCCCCACCAACCCAGGACACAGTAGCGCGCACCTGCCTGGGACCCAGCCCCACTGACAGCCCCTCACTCACCTTGATGGTGCCGAGCTTGAAGTCCTCGCCAGAGTCATTGTAGACGATGGACACGAAATCGTTGCCCAGGTGGCGCTTCTTGTCGCAACGATGCTTGTCCACGTCCTTGGTGGGCATCAGGGTGGCGATGTGGAAGACGGCTGCAGGTGAGCAGAGCCAGATGGGTTTGTGGGGCCAGTGCTGAGGCCCTTTGTGCCTTGCATCGGGGCACCTCCTGATTCCTCCAGGGGTTCTGGGGGCCTGCGGGGGCCACGTCCTCTGGTGCCTAGCCAGTGGCCCTCAGCCCTTCCCCAGGGGCAGGGCTTTGGGAAGCAAAGCCACCAGCCCCATCACTGCCTCCATGCCCATGCTGCTGAGCTCGGACCCAGCGTGGGGAGCTGGAGCGGGTGGGGATGCCGGGGCCATGCCCCGAAGCATGGGGCAACAGGACCAGATGGGAGCCGTGCCCCGAGGCGTGGGGCAGCAGGAGTGGGTGGGGGTCAGGCCACACCTTGCATGATGTCGTCGTGCCAGCAGTAGGTGAACTGGCCGTCCTCACCACACACGTCCAGGCCTCCCAGGTACACCTTGTCTGGCTGGCAGTCCTTGAGCTCGATGAGCCGGCCCAGGCCCGTCAGGAACTCCGTGTACCTGTAGGAGCCATGCTCGTTGGACAGGATGGCGAGCTCACTGTTGCTCTGTGGGGAGAGAGGAGAGGGAAGGTGGCATCACTCCCGGGCCGGGCCCCGCCCCGCAGAGAGTGGGGGTGCCCAGTGGGCTCTGCCGGGAGCCCCACTCTGATCCCTGAGGTAGACGGGACCATTCATTCCAGCAGCCACCCAGGCCAGACACCAGGTGTCATCCTTGACCCCCTCTCTTCCCTCAGCCCTGTGTATGCCTGGCCAGCAAAATCAGGGAGCTCCACCCTCAAAGCACAGCCAGGGCCCTGGCTCCTCAGCAGCCTGCCCCCAGGGGCCTACCGTGCTCCCACAGAGACCGTCACCACCCACCTCCACGAGCCACACAGCAGGAGGGACTCATTGAGACTCGGCTGAGTCAGCAGCAGCCCAGGCCCTGCTCTTTCCCTTGGGATGAAGGTGCAGCCTCTAGGGCACTGAGGCTGCCTACCCTGTCGGCTACTGTGCCCGCCCAGCACAGATGCTCCCACTGGGCAGGGTGCCCCTGGCCTCTGCACCTGCTGTTGCTGTGCGGGATGCCCCTACCCCTTATGCAGGCTCCCCCTGCCCTCTCCCTCACCACTCAGCTGTCAGCTCACTGACCAATAGCACCCTCCCCAGCCCCGCGACCAGTGCCACCCGCCCAGTCCTTCCGACTCCTTGGCGTGCCGGGTGCTCACACGCTGACCTGTCACTCGCGTCTGGGTCCCCAGCACTCAGAGCAGCATGTGGCATGGAGCTCAATGAGCACTTCATGCTCTAGGGTACCCAGGAGTGTTGAGCTCCGCGGAGCGTAGGGGGCCCAGACTCCCACCCCCTGCAGGCTTGAGGCCCAGCTGACCCTATCCAGGCACCTAGGTTGGCCCTGCAGCCTCACCTGGCCTTCTCCCACATACAGGACGGCGATCTTGTGGGTGTCGTATGATGGGATCTGGTCGAGAAGCTGCACCGACCGCTCAAAGGACTGTGACTGTGGCACACAGAGCCCTGTCTGAGCCCCAGATGCCTGTCCATGGGAAGCCATCCCACCCAGGCTGGTCACAGCAGGCTGCCACAGGGAGCCGAGGCTAGAGCCCCCTGTAAGCTTGAGCTCTGAGCAGCAGAGCTGGGCCCCCCACCACTCCCCAGAGCCACAAAGCTCCAGCAGACTGCAGGAGAGGGAGGCCACGCCTACCTCATTGGGCAGCAGGATTGGCTTGTTTGACTCGTCGCCAAAGAAAGGCGAATGGTAGAGCTGCAGGAACACGAAACTGCACAGGGAGGAGACAGTGGGCACCCAGGTGAAGGCCTGGCCAGGGCAGCCACAGCCCAGGGAGGAACACAGAACCTGGCCATCTCCCACTCCACCGCCTTCCCAGGGGCTCCAGCCAGTCCTAAAGCACAGGCGAGGACCCTCCCCAGCCTGCTCGGCCTGGGGCAACTGAGGCACCAGGTTCCTACAGGATGGTATCAGGAACCCCGCCCGGAAGCAAGAGGCCCACCTGGGGTTGATGCCTGGCACTTTCTCTGCATTGGAAGCTGTGGCTCTGCTCTTAAAGGCATCCCTTTCTACCCTCCTGCCCCTGCGTGATGGGGCCGAGTCGGAGATGGTGTAACCGCGGGGCCGGAGGCCACTGGGCGAGCGGGGGGAGCTGGAAGGCAAGGGACCCTCGGGCTGGCCCCGACTGTCTTCGCCCGAGGCTGGCCAGGCAGCACTTTCCCCGTCCAGGATCCCTGACTGTGAACGGGCCTTAACCTCAGGGCTCAGCCGGCCCACGTCGGCCTTGTCCCCAGGGTCCCCGAGGATGTCCTGCAGGGTCTGCAGCTCAGGAGAGGAGCTAGACTTGCTCAGGGGCTGTGAGGGCTGGAAGGAGAGCTCCACAGAGGGCCGGCCACCCTCCGAGGAGATGGCTCGTTCAATGGGGATTCCCCCGGCAACCAGCTCCTCTGCGTGGAATGACTTCTCCTCCTGGCTGGAGGTTGAGGACGACTAGAAAGGACCATCCCAAAGAGAACCCCATCAGGAGGCACCCTCAAGCCTACCTGGGGTTGCCCTGGAGGTGGTGAGAGGCCCTATCTGTCCTCTGTCCCAGGGCCACAGAGCAGCCCAAGCACCAGGCTACGGTCCCCACCCGTGAAGCAGCAGCACCACCAGCTGTGCCCCACACTGTGCGAGCCGAGGTATCAGCATCCCGAGACCACAGGCTGCCCAGCAGCCAGGGGCCGGCCCAGGTGGACGGCTGGGAAGTGCAGACTGTCTGTGCACAAACGATGTGGAAGAACATCTCGCCCAAGTTCACAGAGCCAGCTCCCCGGGTGCAGGCCCACCCACGCCGAGCCCTGCCTCCCACAAGGAGACCCCCCAGCTCAGGAGGGTCTAGGCTCTGAGCCACACTCACCCTGCTGTAGGCGTCTGTGCGCCTGTCCACGCCTAGCGCTGCCTCAAAGTCCTCCAATCCTGGGGGCTCCACTGGCACAGGAACCTCGCCAGGACTTCCCTCCTCCATGACCACGGCGGAGTCTGGGAGGACACAGACGGGGCTGCTGGATGTG